GCACTGCCACCAAAACCTGTCCTCTCAAGGCTTTAACTCCCTTGTTTTTAATGTTAGCCTTCATACAACAAGTTCTGTGTTTCTATGGCAGATCCTACCAGTTGCTTATGGCAAATGACATGGATTTTAAGAAGGAAACAGAAGCAAAGGAGAAGAACTGGGACAAAATGCCAACTAAATAGATTGTACCTAGCTAAGGTAGGTGTGTTCGAGTTAGCTGGTGACGTTCAACCTAGACTGCTAATGATGCTGCCTCAGTAATCCTGTAGCTGTAGCAATCACTTGGAAAACTCACAGAGGAGGGGAAGTCCCAGAAGGATGCAGAAAAGCAAAACACCACCTGTTCTGAAGAAAAGTGTACCCTAGGAGGGATGCACCATTCCAGGTTCAATAGCTAGGAGGAAGCTACAACCACTGCAGGTACTTATTAATGGACTGTAGCACAACAAAGTGATTTTGAAACCGTGCAGCAATAGATCACCTTGCCACCCAAGTGGGACCTGCGGTGATCTGCAAAGCGACGGCAGGGACTAGATGTTGGGAAGCCTTTCTGACTGGAAGGACACTGCCCCACCAGAACAGGCTGCCCTGGGAGCCCTCTAGGAAGAAGTTCATGTAACCTAAGGCCAGCCTGAGTATGCGACAGTGAGGCGACTTCCCAAACTCCCTTCAGCCCGTGGGAGAGATTAGGCTGTGTGGGAGACCAGTACCAGTGCCCGAATCCTGCGGCAGGTTGTACACAAGATGCACACCTGGACCCCAATGCAGTCACAGGGAGGCTCACACCTCCATCACGGATCTGTCCCTGGGATGGCCACACTGCTGGTGTGCTCCCACCCGCATGGTGCCGTCCCAATGGCAAGAAGTCCCAGTGTCCAGCAACCAGTGTCTGATGGTCCTGATGCTGTGATCCATGGGCCCCAGGGGAGCCGGAGCAGCTCGAGCCCTGCTGCAATTGCGGGGTGCTGAGAGCACCCCTGGGAGCACTGATCTAGCCAGGGGAACCGCCTGCGTGGGGGCTGCTGCTGACACCAGGAAGGGACGGATGCTGCTCGCTTCCCTACGAATGAAAGGCTCTTGCAAGGGGAGCGGGGTGATACGCAAGGTGTTGCTTGAGTGACCCTGGTCCCTACCCCCTGTGGTTGAGCAAGCGAAAGGCTCTTCCCTGCTCCTCCACCTCCGCAGCCTTCCCCATCAGAGGAGTGACAAAACCTTCAGCTGGGAAAAGCATTTTATGAGCATGGGGGACTTGCCGAGCAGAGGGGACAACTGTGTCCCCTCTCCCTACCACCTGGCTGTGACTGCTTTCCTCCTGGCTTCAAAGTGCCAGGAGAAGCCTCTCTGCCCCCAGCCTGGTGCAGCCGCAGCTGGCAATGGATCACAGAGGCGGGACAGCCTTTGAAAAGCCGCCTGGAGTAAGCAGCCACCTTGCTGCTGTATCGTTTGCTCCCAGCCCATGCAGCCGGCTCCCCGCTAGTCCCGGGATCAGCAGGTCTGCTGGCTGCTGGCACCTGCTTCCCCCTTTGCAGTGGGTCCCGCTGGCCTTCCAGGGCCGGCTGCTGCCAGCGGCACGCTGCATCAGTGATGGTGATCATCAAGAGGAAGCCCGGCATTTCCAGCGGTCTCGTTATGCTGGAAAACCAAAGTGTTTTGGTTTTTTCCTCCACATATCTGTATCTTCATGGCCGGTTCAGGCCTTTTCATGCAGACCATGAAGGCTCAGCACAGCCCTATATTGGTTCTTTTCGTTTGGGCACTTGTTCTCATGCTTGCAGGTATTTCCAAGAAGGGTATTTCTTATTTTTTTCTTTTTTTTCATTCCTGCATTAACCTTTTTCCGCAGCTCCTGGAATACAGATGAGGCACCGAGCCTTTATTAACCACAGCCTGGTTGTTTGCTGGGATCCATCTTGCTGAAGCCAAGAACAGTCACCCCAGATTTCCAAGCCACCAAACTGAGGCCAAACCCGAAGCACATGCCTGACGCTTCTGTTGCAACCATCCCTCTCGACGCGCCCGAGCTGGAGCCGGCTGCCATTTGCGAGGCGGGAGTGGCGTCCCTCGCCCCGGCGGCTGCTGCTCCTCCCCAGCCGGCCTCCTGCCCTAAAGGCAGCTCTGCTCCTCCGCTGAGCGCTCGCCTCAGCCCACCCCTCGCTTCGTTCCCAGTTTTCATTCACCTGGGACTTCTTGTGGAAATTAAGGGGTGTTTCCGCTGCGTTTGGGAATATTCCTCATTTTTAGTACGTGGTCTCCCGTCCATGAGGTGCAGTCCTTATCGTCGTATAGAGTTCCCTCTTGCACAAACATCAGTCTACGCCTCCTTGCAGTTTCTGTGTGTCTAAGCCACTATTTCTGGCAAGCTGCTAAAATAGCTGATGATGAAGTCATCTTTGTTTTTCCAGGACTGAAAAAAAAAACCCAAACCCCATCTCTGTTTGGGTGTTGAACTCCACACCAGCTGCCTGTTCCTGCCACGGGGCTTTGCCGCCAAGCAGCTCTGCCCAGACCCCCTGCCTTGCCAAGGTCACCGGCCGTCCCCATCTAGTAGCCTCCTTCCCAGCCCTCTGGCAGGGCTTGTTCCCTCGCTCCGTCCTGGTGCTTTCCTGCTCGCTGCTGGGGCAGTTACTGCTCCTGCCCTCTCTCCAGAGACTCACCTCTGGGTCGGGAAGCTTGGAGCGGCGGGATGCCCCCAGCCCCGTGGCTCACCGTGCTCCCCAGAGCCTCTGTTTCTGCCTTCCTCATTGCTCTCTGCTCCGGTGTGATCTGGCAAGCTGGCAGCTTGCCCTCGCCCCACATCCCTTGCTCCATCACTGGGTTTTCACCAGCCGCCCGGTGCTTCTGTGCGACCAGGGCCAACCCTGCCTCCTACGTACCATGGGTGCTCTGCGACACCGGCACAGGAGCTCGACGCAGGCAGGGCATCGGCGCGGGGCCCCCCCAGCCCCGGCATCGGGCTGACTTGCCAAGCCAGCCGTCCCCACGTGATGCAATTAGCTGGCTGATGCCGGCCACGGGTCATTACTGATTTGCTGGCCCCCGCACTGCGCAGAGACCCGGCCAAGCCGCTCCCTCTGGGCCTGGCTGCTTCCATCAGGCAGATCCTGCAAGCCCGTCGCCCCGAGCTCACTCTGGATGGCAATTGAGTTGGAAAGCTCCCTGGCTCTCGCCTTCGGTGTTTGGGATTGAAAAGCCCCTCTTGCCGCCATTGCTGTCACCGCTTTCGGTTCTGCTCCTCGGGCAATCCTCCGCGTCCCATTTGGACATATTTTTAGCAGGCATTTTTTCTGAGCGTCGTAGGCTTCTTCCACTGCTGTGTTTATGAATAGCTCATTGCTTCGCCGGGGGCAGCCTCGCATCCCCCTTCCACCCCAGGAGACTCTCAGTGCACCCGGGCATTTGTGCAAAGCAGCTCCGAGCCGTCCCTGGGGAAGGCATGGGGCTCGCTGCTGGAGCCCGAGCAAACCCTCTACCGAGGGTCAGGTCTCTGCATCGCAGTAAACTGTTTTAAATGGGCAAAACAGTCTATTTTTCCTCACCCTCAAGGAAGGCCTGCAGCAGTTGAGCTGCAAGTCCTCCCCCACCTCTTACCCTCCCTGCCAAACCTCAGCCAAGGGCTGGCAGTCCCTAAAGAAAAAAGAAATCCTGTCCTAAGAGCTCACCTATTGCAGGCAGGAGGATCTTCCCGATGCCCTGCCCTTGCTGCAACTGTGCCCTCATGGACACCCAGCACCAGGTTTGCCTCTGGTCTTGCCTCCAGCATTATCCCTCTTTCCTTCAGCGTACACAGCCCACGAGCCCAGGCTCTCCCCGTCCTTCCCTGGAGCAGCAGGAGGCTGCGGCCAGAGAAGACGTGGAGCAGCAGCCCCATCTCTGGGAGCAGCCGAATTTCTGCTGGGAAGGTCCTGAATTAGACCAGGGAGCACAGCAGGACACCTTCACCTCCCAGGGATGAGGTCTGCCTGTACCCTTCTGCCTGCAATGAGGGACTCCCAACACCACAAATTCACTTTCAGATTTTAAATCTGCGAGAAATTCCTCTGCCTTTCCCCTCCTTGCTGGGTCTTCATCAGTTTTGCAGAGGAAATATTTCTCCTGAGGGACAAAATGATTCTCAAACCATTTGGTTGCTCCTCCAGCATTTGCATCCCTTTAGCATGAAACACATTGACAAAACACAGGATCCCTGCATATTTTCAAATCCAGTGTAATTCTCAGTTTATCTCCACATTTCTGCCCCCATGGCCTCCTTGAGCAGTTCAAATAGTGGTGTGAACCCTGTCGGGGTCTCCACAGCATGCCCTAGGGTGCTTAAGGTGGGTGGGAGATCTGCCTGCAGGATCTGCACAGGCTTCACAGCTCCCATTTTTATTTCACCTGCTGCCTGCTGCGGTTGGAGCTGCTTTCTCCATCCCCGTTTCCCTGGCATGCCAGGTCTCCCGCTTCCAAAACACCTGAGGTTGGCTCCTGCTAAAGGCAGCCAGAAGTAACGCCTTGGCTGGGTGGAGGAGGGCTCTCACCGTGCCAGCCCAGCTGCACCTGCAGGTGCAGGGATGCACGTGGGGGCAGGAGGCACAGCCTGTGCAGGACCTTCGGTGCCACCTTGCATGTGTCCTTGTTTCCCAAGGATGCTGATCAGGTGCCAGAGGCTCGCTGGCCATCCCGCTCAAATTGGGGACATGCCCCCAGTCATGCCCAAAGCCTTAGGCTCATCCCTGAGGAATGAACTCAAACCCCTCCAGCGCAGTGGGGACCAAAAGGCACCAGCTTTGAGATGCTTTTTTGACCCCTGGGTTTGGCTGGGTCAGAAAGGGTCTGTGCTGTGCCGTGGTGAGGAGAGGACACTGCCAAGCAGAGGGGATTGGGGTCATGGCAATGGGTACATCAAGGAAGCATCACTGGCCTGGGGATCTGGTGGTCCTGCACAGGAGCTGCTGGCCCCACTAGCCCCACTGACAGGCTCTGCCTGTCCCCATCCCCCTTCCTGTCCCCATCGCGCTTACCCGGGTGGCCAGGCTCTCCTTGCAGTGCAGGCTGATTCCACACTCGTCGGTGATCTCGGAGAGGTCTTCATCCTCAAACTCCTCAAGGCTGATGTCGTGGGTGAGCCTGGAGGGAGCAGAGACGGGGTGGTCACCCCCTGTGCAGGCAGCAGGCAGGAGCAGTGAGCAGCACCGCCCGCCCCGGGGAGAGGCTCTCCCAGTCTTTACTGGGCAGAAAGACTGGGAAGGGGGCTCCTTCTGGAGGGGATGGGTCTGTCCCCACCAAACAGCTGGGCTTGGCATGGTCTGTGACTGTGGGAAGGCAGGAGGAGTGTGCCCCAAACCAGCCCCTGCCTGACTGAAGCCAGCAGGGACATGCAGGTTGGGAGAGGACAGGACAGATGGCACAGCCAGGTGTTCCCAGGAGGTTCGGCTCCCACCATCGCCAGGAGGCTCTGGTGTTGTTCCAGCTGGGCACAGGCACCCAGCAGGGCAAAGGCCAGGGTTACAGGGAGCGGAAGGGCTGGGGTCCTGGCAGGGCACAGCTGGAGGATGGACCTGCTGGGACAGGTGACCACAGCAAGACCCACAGACCTTGCAAGCACCGCAAACCCGCAGACGATGGCACAACCAGCCCCTGAGCCACAGCTGGGAGGGATGGCCCAGCCCAGGTGTCTGCAGTAAGAGAGGGAAGCAATTTCCCTCTGTGCCAAAATCACTGCCCGGGGTGACTGCGGGCATCCCCATGGCTATAGGTGCTGCCAAGCCCGCGGTGCCAAGCCCAACTGCATGGCCTCAGGGGTCCCTTAAGGCTGTCAGCCCCACAAGCTCATTACACCCCTTTAAAAAGTTTACAGAGATATCCTTTTAGTGGCTGGAAACGTGCTGATGAGCAGGCTCTTGGCGTGCTTGCTTGCATCCCCAGGGGAACAGCGAGGCGCTCCTGGCTTCTGTGCATTAAAACATTTCTCAGTGGTGGTACCGCAATGCTCCTCTCGCTTATTCATTACCATGGGGGTAAATAAAAGAGCCCAGCTCGGAAGTCCTCTGCCAACCAACTCAGCCCCCCAAGTTTGCCTGGAACAGCCACAGGCGCTGCTTTGTGTGCTGCCATTTCCATTTGCTCCCAGCTCCTCGGGCTGGGGGATGCTGGGGTGGAAGCACCACGCCGAGCCCAGCACCCCTCTCCAGCTTGGCCCTCACTGGCGGGGAAGGAAAGAGAAGGGTTGGGGGGCAGGGACACAGCCTCCAGCACAGGGTGGGGAGTCCGGACACCCCCTCCCCCGTCCATCTCCCGCTGCTGCCCATGGGAGGGAAGGAACGTGGAGCAGGAGGCTCATGATGAGCCTTCAAAGCACAAATCGATTTCTTCTCCGGTTACGTGGGTCGCCAGGGTGGGACACCATCAGCCGCTAATGCTCGGGGCCTCACTCGCCCTGGCGCAGGAGCGCAGCGGGTGCCGCGGGGTCCTGGCAAGAGGCTCAACATTGCTGAGGGGCTGGCAGGGGCTCCCCAGCTCTGCAGGAGCGGCTGGGGTGGGTGGCAGTGCCCCCTGCTCCGGGATGGGGACAGCCAGCCCTACCCGTGCTCTCAGGGACGGGGAGACAAGGCAGAAGCTGGTGCATGGCAAGATGCGGCCGGCCACCTTTGCCGCTCTGGCGCCCGGCTGCCACGCAGATCTCTGCGCAGCCGGGAAAACTTTGGGCTCAACTGGGTGCCAAGTTTTCTCCTGTCCTGCGGCCATCTCTCGTGGAGGAGGGCAATGTGCCCAGGGGCAAGGAGCTGCCCCTCATCCCTGTGCCCACCCGTGGGGACAGCCCCCCCTCCCTGAGGCCCGGCAGATCCCCTACCATTTCTCCCACTGATCTTCCAGCCAGCAGTCCTCCTCGGTGCTCGACTCCATTTTCAAGGGCAGCTGCATTGAGAAGGACCCCCCTTCCCTGGGGGACACGCTCCCACCCCAAAGAAGATTCCCAGGGCCAGGTTGAGGAGGAGTGAGGGAGGTGACAGCCGAGCCCCAGGCACCCGCTGTCCCTCTGCCTGCCCCGGCGCAGTCTGTGGCTGCCGGCGCTGCTCTGTCTCCTCACTGCGCAACCTGGGGAAGCTCATTAAAAATAGATGGAATCAGCTGTCCTGGAGGGGAAAAAAAAAAAAAATAACCTCCCCAGCTGAGCCAGTGCCAAGTCCCTGCACTCTGCCGGGGATGCTGACTGCTTCCGCCTGCCAGCCAGCCAGCCCGGCTCCTGGTCCTGCTCCAGCGCCCGCTCCCCACCACCCGCAGCGGGCACAGGGGATCTGCTTACCCCGGCACAGATGCCTGCGCCACCCAGCCTCCTCCTCCTCCTGCCCTTGCAGCATCACTGGCCGAGCCAGGGACAAGGGGCTCTGCCCCTCTCTGCCCCGCTGCAGCGATGGGATCCCTTCCTGCAGGAGACGGGAGCACTTGTCCGGCTTCTCGCCAGGTAGAGTGGGGCTGGCTCACCGACGCAAAGGCCGGAGAGCTTCCAGCACAGCAGGACCGGCATCACAGCCGGCCGCATTCCCCGAGTGGAGGGAAGCAAGATGAGCACCTTTGCCAAGGGGCAAGCCCAGCCAGTGCAGAGCAGTGCCAGGAGTGTTGCCCTTTCCCTTTCTGCCCCCACCTAACCCCCAGCCCCACTCCCACCTCAGGCAGGGCCATCCCTGAGCTTCCCCAACCTCTAACCCCTGTTAAGGGCCAGAAAAATACCTGGTGAGCTGCTCTGCCAGCTCCCACCCCTCTTCTGCTGCCGAAGGAAATAGGAGCCTTTCCCAGGAGGGGCTGCCAGGTGTTGCCAACAAAATGTTGGCGTAGGGGCCTCAGATAATCCTCCATCACTCCGATGCCTCTTGCAGCCACTCACTGCCCGCCGGCATGCCACAGACCCTGAGCCTCTGTGGAGCCATTCACCCCTTGCCCCATCGGATGGAGCCAAAGCAGCTCTGGGAAAGAGGCACCCACCCCAATTTCGAGATGGGGATGGGGGACCCCGCTCCCCACCAGCTGCACATACACTGCTCTGGCACCCAGCAGGGTCGTGCCCCACTGCCGCCCATTCAGCACTGCCCTCCTGCCCCACGCTGGCACCCACCCCAGGAGCTCTCCTTGGACCCCAGCCCAGGGGCTGGGAGTGATGGGTGCATCTCCCACCAGCCTGACCAGCACTGTCAGGTCCTTGGGACCCAGCTTCGCCCCTAGCCGGGTTAAGGTGGGTGATGTTCGCAGAAGTCCAGGTCACTGGGTGGCCTGGACCACTCTGCTGAGCTAATTGTCACTGTGCCAGTGCCATGCCACTGGCAAATGTCACTCATGATACTGTGCTCGCTGTCTCTCAGTTCCTCGATAACAGTATCCAGGGCTCCATCTTCCCTATCAGCTCTGCCTGGAGGCACCTCGTCTGCTCGAAACCTCCTCGCTTAATGCAATGAATAGAGAAATCTCTGTCTCTGTATTACTCCCACCCTTTTCTCCTCTCACATGGATGCTCCAGGACTTCTTAGGAGATACAAGGAAGGCTCTCCGTTATCCCCCCTCGCTCCCTGTGCTGGAAACACCCCTGCCTTTCTCTCTTGCTTCTCAAAGAGGCTAAAAATACCAGCAAAACGAAACAGCTCTGACTCCCCTCAGCTGCATCATTGGCAGTAAAAGTCTGAGCAGGACCTACACGGGTATTTTGGCCAACTTCCCTCCCCAGCGGCAGCAGCAGAGGCACGGGTGCCACCAACATGCCGCTGCAGGCAGGCACCACGGCGTCACAGGTACGTGGGAGGTTGCCCCTTGGCCGTGACGGTGGGTGAGCCCTGAGTCTGCAGAGGTTACGGGTGCTCTCCTGAGGGATGTGCCGAGAGGCTCCCGGAGGCTGGCAGACCTGTGGAATGCACAAGAACCTATAAACTTAGGACACCTGGGAACTGCGAGTGAGGGAGCACGTGTGTGTGCGTGAGCAGAGGCAGCCGGTACCTGCCCTTAGCAGGAGCGGCTTGATCACAATCCTAATAACAGCCTTATAATCAAGCCTGGCTGCTGCACCTCCCTCCACTCCATCCCCTGCCAGGGAAAAGGGGATTTCCAGCATCGCCTCCCCAGCCCGCTGCCGCCGCGCAGGATTTCCCAGGCTGGTCAGGCCGTACTCCGGTACTCTGC